GACCTGGGTCCAGTAGCAAACAATGGAGCGCGCTCTGCTGGACAAACTAAGTAATTACACCATTCAGAAGCATTTAATCTGGGTTATATGTTCTGTAAAAAAAAAATTTTTAATATCGGCGGCATATTCGCCAATACCGGTCGGGCTCTAATATTTTTGATGAAATCCGAGAGCTCTCAGACCCTGCATAGACAGCAATGCAACTGAAATGTTCCCAGGTCTAGAAACGTAGTAAGGACATCGGTAAAATAGCCCATGTGACATCAGGGGTTCAACTGTAATTTTACAAAGCTACGAGAATACTTTTTGTGCGACAAAAATATACTATTTTATTCAACAATTCTTCTCCTCCTCATCCCGTCTGCAGCGGCGCGCCGCCATTGTTAAGAGTATCATGAGGAGAAAAATTGTTGAATAAAGTCGTTATTTTTGTTTTCTTTGCGCACAAAAAGTATTCTCGTAGTTTCGTAAAATTACGGTTGAACCCGTTGTATATACATATACAGGGTGTGAGAGCTCTCGGTTTTAATCAAAAATATCTTAATTTGTGTTCCGAAGATGAACGAAGGTCTTACAGGTTTGGAACGACATGAGGGTGAGTAATTAATGACAGAATTTTAATTTTTGGGTGAACTATCCTTTTAAAAAGGGTGGTCTGGGGTACGGTTCATGTGAACTCCGGCACGATTCAATGCTGATATGAACGCAATCGTACCGAATCGCGGAAGTGAACCGATATTAATGATGTATTATTTGATAAAAATGTGTTTGTGTGCGTTTCACTCACTTTCCTGACGAGTGTGACTGACGCGCTGCAAGCAGAGAGCTGTATATCTCATTTTTGTTTGCCTTTAGCGTTCTTTAGACAGCAGTACATTCGTAAGACAGACGTAAGTGCCGTCATGTACTGAAGCTTCGGAACAAAACCAACGGTTCAAATACATAAATATAAAAGAGAAGAGAGCAATGTTATGCATTTTGCCGCCTTTTCCTGCGCCGTCGTTACTAAGCAACGGGCTAAACAGCTGCTGGCCTGATGACGCAAACGAACCATGGTCCGGACCCAAATAAAATAATATGAACGCAGTGTAGCGGGGGCAGGGGAGGGGGAGCAATCAAACTCTGGTTCGGACAAGGCAATCGAACCAAGTGTGAAAGCACCCAAACTTCGGTTCCATTTTAAGACCTTTTGAAGGCCTTAATTTGTGGAAGGGCAAATTAGGACTTTATAAGAAACCCCTAAAGTATGCTTTTGCATTCCCATTTGCTCCCGAAAAAATAAAAAATATTGTTTTCAAAATTGAGCAAAAACAGATAATACTGATATTGTTTCTACAACGTAACACAATATTAACTTCTTGTTTATTGACCTGTTGTATAAAATCAATAGCACATTTGCACTTGTCCAGATATTTGGGAAAAACAGCAGTCTTGCTCATGCGATACTGCTAAACTATAAAGATAAAATATAAGACAAAACCTGCATGCAATGAACCATAAGATGAAGTACAGATCGGGATGGGGTGGGTGCGTTAATTACATTAATAATTTTAACATGTTTAACAATTATTTGCACCAAATGAACATGCTAAATCACAGCCCATAAAAACCTTCATTTAAAAACTGCATGTTGTGTTCACTTGTGTTATCTTTTACTAATATTTAAATTTGTTTGATGATCTGAAACATTAAAGTGTGACAAACACGCAAAAAAATAAGAAATCAGGAAGGGGGCCAACACTTTTTCACACCACTGTATATATAATATATTATAAGTAATTTGCTTCAACCTTTCCAAACTTGGACATCTAGATGGCAGTGAGCAAAGCACGGCTGTCTCTATCACACATATACATGCCATAGCGACACGCAGCTGTGGTTCAAAATTAACACCATTCCAATTCTTGAGAATCAAAATCATGATGCATTGATGAATAAACATTTCCTCACACCACTATTTTGAAAGCACTGCATGTTCTGATTGGCTGTGATTTTGCTTTTCAGTTTTTTAGTAAGAACAGATATATACCTTAATGTTAAAAAAATTAATCAGTTTTAACAGTTGTTTTAACAGTTTTGCTCTCTTTAAAATTCAGTTTGGTGTAATTAATTTTAGATTGGTATAAAAGTGAAACTCCAGTGAGTAGTGTCATTAAAAGGAAGCCAAAGAGTGGAGAAGGCCCCAGCAGAATAAAGCACTGCTGGGTAACAATGAGCACTGCTACCTTGAGCTCAAACAGCTCAGTGTTTGTGTTGGAGGGGGTCAAAGCAAACAGACTGCCAGCCCGGCAGATTCTTTAGACATAGAGCGCGAGAAACAGAGAAAGACAGAGAGAGAGAAAGAGAGAGAGAGAGAGAGA